AATCTATATTAATATACTGTATTATATTAATATAATATACTAATATATTATATTTTTAATGTACATTAGTTGACATCCTGTCGACATCTTGTTGACATAATAGGAAAAACTGTATTTTGTTTGGTTATTTGGACCAATTCGGTCGACATTTCCGAAATATAGGAAATGTCAGCCGACATAATGTAATTTTTATATTACCATCCATTTTCATGTCGGTGAGCCTCGACATCGACATATGTCAGGCGACATCAGCGACATTTGGTGACATTTGAAACCATGCTATTAGGCAAATAAACAGCAATGGGGAAAATGGGTCCCCATGCCTGATTACCCCTATAACTATGGAACCTTTCTCTAGTCTGCCATTTATCAAAACTGTGAAGCTTGCTGTTGTGACACACACCTTGACCCAATTTCTCCACTTCTTTCCAAAGTTGAACCTCTTCGGCATGTAGTCCATAAAACTCCATTTTGCACGATCATAGGCCTTTTCATGTCAACTCTTAATGACACCCCTGCTTCAGTGCTTCCCCACTTCTCGAGTCAATCAACTCATTAGCCACCAATACCCCATCAAGAATATGCCTCCTATCTACCAAAGCACCCTGAGATTCAGATATTATTTGGCCCATCACCCTTCTTATTCTTTTTTGCCGAAAATTTTCTATTACTTTGTATACCCTACCAATCAAACTAATGGGTTTGAAATCTCTTAAACCTGCTGCAATCAATTTTGAAAACATAATACAAGCAATTTAAGATTTGTATACCTGGGCTATGCTACCAAGATACAGATGGATATGGTAGCAGTCTAGCAGATATGAACTATACACTAAAAATTGAAGTATCTCACATGATATAGCACCCTTGTACAGGTATATGGTATCACAGATCCCTGAGCCTGGAGGCCTTCAATCTTAGATTATTCTTCCTACACCCTGCCTTACAAGTGAATCAGCTAGTTGCCCATTCATTAATCTAGGGGGGGGGGCACATGAATGAACTATTGAACCTATTAACAAAAGTTTTAGCTTCTATAAGCATGCCTTCTAGGGACCTAGGGCTTCAGAACTTGGGGACTCCATACAATTACAACTTGGTAGTTCCCTTTAATGATTAGACCCTTCCAAACCAATGAGAAAGCCAGCTTTAGATTTTGAGACAAAAAAGAAGCTTTTTTTCCAATAATAATTGGTAAAGAGGGCATGAAGCTCATCTCTTTAACAGTTTCCTTTCTCCATCTGGTCGTTTAGGTTAAGACCATCTGGTCTGATGTGATCTCTATAAACTCTTATTTCTGAATGGCCTTTATTTCTTTTGGAACATCCACAAAATTTTATCTTTATTTTTCCATGATCCAGGGCTACCCATGCTTGTAAGATTTGGTCTCTTTGAGGAATGTGGCCTGCCACCACATAGCAGCCTCTTAGAATTGAGTCCATATAAATACATTTGATTAATTGAACTCCTCTCTTATGAGAATTAATGGGCCACTCTCACTGTGTTCAGATCAATGATTATATTAACTTATTTCTGACTGTTGGAAATTCCAGAATTCCTTTCATTCAATGTGCACCATATCAAAAAGAGAAAAACAATGACTCCATATGTATGTTATGAATGCTGTGTTTGGTTGCAGTGCAATTTTATTTGCACTAGTACAAATGCATGGGAGTGCAATGAAAAAAATGCAAGTTCTCATTTAATTTTATCTTGGGTTTTATTTTATTCTGCTTTATGTCTTACTTCATTTGCACTACAGTCAAACAAAATAATCTAAATTTTGAAATAAAAATAAATCAAAATTTACACTTAAATAATTTGCACTGCTATAATTTTGTATCAGTGCAAATTTATTTGCATTGCAACCAAACACAGCCGAAGGAGCAAGAAAGTAATAGGTGACTAGCATTCTCATCATTCTTCCAGCATCACATGTGGGGAGAAGTTCCAAAATTCATTCTCTATTGAAGCATCTCATTGGTATTGAATATATTCAATGTGGCTTCCTGGAAAAAAGATTTGATCTTTGGTAGAAACCATAGAATGAAATTTTTGACTAGGACAAGGAGAAGGATATTAGCAGATTCAATCAAGCATTTAGAAAATCTAAGAGCAACGTAAAACAATCCCAAGGTCAATGGACCACACACTTTAATCTTGCCCTCAATTGGAAAAAGACTCTTTAAGAGACTTTAAGGAGTTTTATTACCCCTTCAATCTCAAATCTCTAGAGCCACGTCTAAACCCAAAATCTCAGGAATACCTCTTGGAGAATGGAATACCATATCAAAGATGCATTAGTTCTTATATAGAGAGATGGAGAAAAAGCCTTGAATATTCTCTACTGTCCCTCATTGAGTATCCTCCCAAATTTGACCTTGTGACTTGAAAGCAGGTATACCTGATAGTAGAAAGAATGGATAAATGGCCTAGATGGATTTTCAAAGGCAACATAGTGTTCCCTATATTTTAGTCTGGAGTCCCAATTTATTATTTATGTGATAAAGTCCATATTTTCTTTTGATTATGGGAGGCCACCGAGTTTGAAATGGGGCATTTAGAGCCATTTGCTTAGCAAAGCCATGGTTTTATCTTTTACACTCCTCAACTCTAGCTTCCCGTCCTCTATTCTGCACACACTCATATAGGGTTTGTATGATCTAAGGATGGGTTTAGGACAACAGTGAGTTAGGAAGGGATTTGAGGACTAGAAAAAAAAGGTTAAGAGGTGTTGGAAAAGTACTAGGTCAATTTGCTAGCACTGTGAATTCTTCATGGGACTTGGGGAAGAATAGAAAATCAAAACACCAAGTGTAGGGAATAAGTTTTTTAATGATGCCTTGCGGAGATGTGTAGATTGATGCATTCTATGGGGTTATTTGCTTTGTAGCAGTTCTAAGCAAGTTTTCCACAAAGGACAAAAAATTCCCTTGTTGAGAAAAATTAATAAAATTCTGGAAACTTGGGTTTTAAATGGATTTTTGGGATAAAATTTGGTAGGATAAAAGGTAATTGAAGATTATTGTGGGTGGCATTATATGAGAGCATTTGGAGATTGTTTGGCACAGACAGACAAAACTTGTCAAAATGGAAATATTTTGGATCTTGATGTAAACTTGAGGGAAAATGCACTTTTAGACCATTTTCTGCCCTTGAGAGATATTCTGTGGACTTCTTTGATAAAGTGGGCTATTGATGACAGGTGGCTATGATATTAATGACTTACTGAAGAATTAGAGAGAAGATAGAGATAAATAAGAGAAAATCTGTAATCACTCAATGGACACCTATTACTCTAGGGTTTATGGAAATTACTAGACTTCCAGGATGACTATCCTATCTTGGAAATCTAGTTATATCTTCTAGGCTAGTCATCCCTAGCACTCTGGGTTTATGGGAGTCGACATCTAGAACTTTGATTTCAAGTTTTCAATTCTGGTGCGCCTCCAGATAATTCTCTCTCCTGGTGTGGGGTGAAAGGAAAATATCCCCAAAAGACTCAAGATGCCAACAGGTGATTGCTAGCTCGTGCCAAAGAGAGGCATAAACATAAAGTATTAGTAATCCTAAATACTGGTAGCAAATTTACAATGGATGAGCAGATGATTGACATATACGAAAACTTGCTACAGAAAACACGTGAGGAGAAAGCTTTTGAATCCTTTTGCTTGCATTGAAGCATCTCAAATATATTGATCTTCATTTACAGCCTTTCAACAAAAACATCTGAGTTTTTTTTGAGTGTTAAAAAATTATCTAATTCTTGGAAAAGTAGGACCTGATTATACATCTTTGTGTAGAGACTAAGGGATTGATGGCATTAGCATTAAGAACCTTTAGACAGAGAGAAGGAGAAATGCAAATATCTTTGGTTCACATTCATCAAAAAAAAAAAAAAACTTTGGTTAAGCTTGATTTGGTTTTGCATTAATAAAATTTCTATTATGTTTGGTTGTGGTGGGTACGAGCATGTTCAAGGTTGGTAATCCAGGGCCTTCAGGCATTGGAGGAGTTTTCAGAGATGAGGAAGGGGAAGCTATTGCTCCATATTCTGGTTCTATTAATGGAGGTGATTCACTTAGAGCTGAGGTCTTGGTGGCAATTGAAGCTATACAAAAGGCTAAGGAAATGAATATTTGAAAGCTGGTTGTCAAAGGTGATTCAAAATTGGTTATGGGTTGGTTGCAAAAGGAGAGTGGGTTATGGAATGTTGTTGATGAAAAAAAGGAAGTTTAAATGGTTGACCCAGGGCATGGGGATAAAACTGCAGTGGGTAAAGAGAAGTGTTGACTCCTTTGCTGATACACTTGCTAAAAAAGGGTGGGAAGGGATCGGTTGTTCTGGACTTTGTTCTAATCTTGAATTTGCTTCTCTAATTCTCTTTTAGGGGAGGGTTAAGAGAGTTTATCTCTCCCCCTAACTTTATTGTATATGCTCTTTAATTTTCCTTAATAAAGTTTCTGTTATTGATCAAAAAACTTTTGAGTGCAAAAGTTTGCTTCCATTTTGAATGCAATTTTTTTTGTCAATAACAGAATTTCATTAATTTAGAGGAGAATTACACAACAGAGGAGAGGTAATTACCTCTCCTCACTAGAATTATAAGTATAGTACAGATTACAATTGTGCCCAAAACATTTGATTTCTTCCCACATTTTGCTAGTACATCTGCAAAAGCATTGGCAGTCCTTTTTTACCCAGCTAAATTGCACTTCCATGTTTTGTGTCAACCACTTGAATTTCTTACTCTCATCATTGAAGATCCGGAAGCCACTTCCTCCCTTTTCCAACCAATCCACTACCAGTTTTGAATCTCCTTCTATAATCAGTTTGCTTAGATTCATATCCTTTGCATTTTGCACACCTTCCAAGACAGCCAGAATCTCAGCTCTTAATGAGTCTTCCACACCAATTGGACCTGAGAGTAACCCAACAACCCTTCCATCCTTCCTAAACACACCACCAATACCAAAAGGACCTGGGTTACCTGTGCTACTCCCATCAACATTTAACTTGATAAAATCAGTATCTGGTGGAGTCCAAAGAGGTCTTACATCAGTCTTATGACAATTTGAGCTAGCCACTACCTTCCAGTTATTCATAATATCAACTGAAGAGAAATCAGCGAAAAGCTCCAAAGTCTTCACCAAGTGAACTACTCTAATCAGAATGGTCTCAATAATTCCTCCCTCTTTGCTTCTTTCCTTGTCAGAATTCTGGAGTTTTTTCTTCCCAAATGATCAGGTCACTGCAGCTCTTACATATCTCCACAATACTCTTAAGCCACCTAAAAAAATTAGAGGTAAACAGGCTTTACACATTAGATGGGGGGGGGTCCACCTACACCCAAACAAAGAAAAATACCACTCCCAAACATTTTTAACAAAGGGGCGGGAGATTAATAAGTGGAAGCAAGTTTCTCCATTAGCCTCATAGAGATTTTGAATGCAAAAATGCCAGGAAAAAAAAAACAAATTGACTTTTGTTTTCAGTACAAAAACATCTTACCAAATGCCTATAAAATTAAACTCGAGTGCAAATTTGCTTTGGTTGAGCATTTTTGCACTCATACCAAATGCAGTCCTAGTATCAACTATTAAGGTGGCTGCATCCTACAATCAACACCATAAGAGCACGTTCTTGTGAAGAGGTACTAATGAAATGACATTCCCAACCATAAATCATCCCAAAGTCATGCCCTTTTACCTGAAACATTATATCTGATGAAATTTCCAGGTGCTGACTAAGAAGAGCTTGTTAATCTATGCAGTTTTGCAACTATTGTCCTGAGAGTCATATTTGCTACTTTGCTACTAATAACTGAATGCCCATAGACATAGAAACTCCTTGGGGAAAAGCCCACAACCATTTACCCAGAGACAAGTTCCTATCCCTCTCTTATTGTCTAGTCCCTCATTCTCCTTCCCTTCATTTACAAATTTCCTATATAACAAGTGAGGCTTTTCTACCATCACTAGGCTCCTGGAAAGAAGTGTTTGATTTTTTTTTTCTTTTTCTATCCCTTTTTTCGTGCATCTCTTTGGTATCTTGATAGGGGTCCTAAAACTCAACAACTTGATAGGTTCTCATCTCAATCATATGGTGTTTGGTTGACAGGGATCCCTGAAAGGGAGCACAGAAACATTAGAAAAAGCAAATTTGATCAGAGTGATTTAACCTCCCACGAAATCGAGTTTTTCCCTGCAACTAATTTCAGAGAACCTCTGGTTACTGTGTGACTTTTGCAAGATTCCATTTCACTTGGATATCTCCTTACCCACCTTAGCCACAAATCCTTCTACTTGGCTCTCCTTAAGGTTGATATCTGTGGTGGTATTTCGGACTTTCAGTTAGGTTCACTTTTTGGCTTCATGTCCATTCAAAGCAATTTAACAATTTGCTTTCATGTTAATTTCCAATTGAAGCTTCCATCTTCCAAAATATGTTCAGGTTATGATCTGTGATTTCCTTCTCCACAAATTAATATTTCCCCTCATTCACTGTTATTTAAAAGTTACTGGAGAATGAAGCTTGTCAAATTGTGCAGCTTTTGTATTTTTTTCATGGCCGGACCATGTTTCCATCTGTTCTGTTCCTACCATAGATCTACTGGATGACTCCACAATGTTGGAGCTTAATCATCCCTGTAGAATTTTTGCACGTTGTGTGTCTATATGAATAATAATGGAGTTGAACTATCTACGTTATTAGTTAGACATTTAGACTTGCAAGCTTGTGCAGATTCGTATGATCTGCTGCCATGAGGGTCATTAGTTAGACATTTAGACTATTTTCTTTTATTTTTGTTGGCTGTTGTTGGTATATGGGAAAATATTTTAATAAATGGTAACTTGATTAGTCCTTGGGAATATAGACTTGATATTCATTTTAACGTGGCAGGTGCTGTCTTGTCCTTTGGAGCTGGAGCTGTGTTTGGTTGGACTTTTGGGCAAGAAATTGCAAACCACTGGTACCAACTATACAGGATGGATACCATGGCTGCGCAGGTGAAGTTCTTGGACTGGTGGGTGAACAAAACCAACAGTTGATCTTGGGTTACATCTGTCATGAGGGACAAAACCTCACCTGGTATTGATTGCTTTCAATAAGAATAACAAATGGTGATGGGAAACAGAAGTTATGAAGTTGGCCTCTTTTAGATTTCCGTTTTCTGATTTAGTGAAGTGAAAAAGCCCTGAGTTCTGATCTTAACATTGGCTTTGACTTGATAATATACATTATTGTGGAATCTTCATTTCCATGCTAAACGCTGAATTTGGTAGATTTGAAGACTCTTTACTTCAGTTGAAACAACTGACAGATATTTTTCTGAATCTCTAGTAAATTGGAAGCTCATAAAGGCATAATGGAATCAGCCATGTCTCTGTGTTGTCTTGTTTGACCCACAAGATTGTCTTGATTTCGTTTACCGAGGTGCTTGTGGGTTCAAGCATTGCAATCCAAATACTCTGATGACCAAAGGTCAATTGATGTAAATTAAAAATCACTGCATTTGCGCTTTGTTTGTAGTACTTTCTTGCGAGACGTAACCATCCATTATTGTGCAAGTAGGTTGTTTATTCAGACAATTTTTTGTTTGGTGCGAAGATAAAAGGGCAATTACCCAATTGCCAATATTATGTCATTTGGCATTGTTCCCCCCTAAACCTGGAATTTGAGAAAGAAACATAGACTTGCTAAAAAGTCTGGCCCAGATGGTCAAACTACTAAATTGATCGAACCGTTGTCATGGTTCACCAAAAAGTAAGTTGAAACCCTACTTAAATGTTGTTTTCTTTCCTCTTCATCCTCCGTTTCTTCCTACGCTAACCTGCCGCTTCTTTTAGCTTGTAGTTCAAACAGATCTTTTTTCCCATTTATAATAACCAGACCAACCCACCACTGTTCACTTTCTTTCCACCTTCATTGCTTTGATGCTGAAGATCTGTCCAGCGTTACTGCTGTTGCTATGCAACCACAATATATCTGTTGCCACTGAGGTGGTATGAACCGCTGACATGGATGGTCGAACCATTAACCGATGACCTGGAAGAAAAAAAAAAAACGTATTGATTTTCAGTTCGGTTTTAAAACACTGCTGGGAGTTTGAAGCCTTATTCATTTTTTTGTCCTTTTACCACTTTGTAAAGCAGAGTGACGGGTGTTATATATTTATCCTGTGACAACTGAAACCAGATATATATAACTCTCTAGACATCTTTATGCGTGTTTCAGCAATGTAAAAATACCAAGCCTTGATGATAAAATTATTGGTAGTAGGGTTGCTATTGGTTTGGAATGACTAGGTGCGGGTTAGGTTCAGCCCAGTTGGTTCTGTTAGATGATCCTGGCTACCAGGTTTAAATTGTCATAAAAAGTTGGAAATAGGAACTTCAGCACAGTGAGCACACAAAGTGAAATACAAGATACGCATGGATGCATTAGAGAAAATCATATTAGGTGCCATTTGACGAATGTTTTTTCAAAGATCTTGTGGAAGATCTGACGGTCAAAAGACGATGTGGGCTTTTGCATAAAGATCTTGGCAGCCCACAAACTGTTTGGTGGAGGCGCATCTTTCCATGCGAAGACGAGGTGAAAAAAGTGAAAAGCTCCGTTTGAAACTTCTCAAAATGAGCTTTTCACGTCTTTCGATGATTAGATCCTCAGCCAAACAGGAAAAGACAAAAACGCGGGCTGCCATGCTCCTAAAAAGCTGACAGCCCATGTGAGAATACGTGCCGCCTTAATCTTATATATCCTTTGCAAATACCACTTAGTATAATAAGGTTTAATTTGTCTTTTCCTGTTTTATTTGATTTAGGATAATAAGGTTTAATTTGTAATCAAATGGCAAACCATATTTAAAAGAATGTAACCCACTCCAATTTATGTTTTGAAAGCCTTTGTGTCAGGTTTTTTATTGTTAAGAAATTTAAGTGTTTTGTTAAATATCAATAAATTTAAAATTTAATAAATTTTAATTTGATTTTGTCCTGGGCTAGTGCCTAGTGGTATGAGGCATGGTTTTTAAAACCGACCCGATGACCGAACCGATCAGGGGTCCAATTACCGGGTCGAACCATTCGACCTGAACGATCGGCCCTCTCTGACAAAAAATTTTAAAAAATTAAAAAAATTGAAAAATGGTCAAAATCATCCGAACAGTTCGAACAGTTCGGTTCAGTGGTTTGCTGACCAAAATCAACGATTTTGGGGAAAAATGGAACTAGTCAGGTGACTGTTTCTCGATTTTTCCGGTCCGGTCCAGTTTTGAAAACCATGGTATGAGGCTGTCGTGGTTACAGTGTATCAATACCTATCACACCGTATCGTATGATAGTATTAGTTTTCAGGTCAATGATATGTTAAATGCAAAGAGTTAGAACATTTTAATAGGTTATATCTTAGTAAAATATTAAACAAAAAAAAAGAATATCTAACTATAAAATATAAATATGAGTATTGATACTTCTAGCCATACAACAAATCTATATCTATATATATAAAACAAGGTTGTCCGAATTCGGATTAGCTGAACGCTTTAGCTGTTCAACATGCTGTGGAACCAATGATGAGGTTCTACGCCAGTAATAAATTCATGGGCCCCATGTATTTAATAATGGCGTGGAACCAATTGGTTCCACGGCCCACTGAACAGCTAAAGCATTCAGCTAAACCTTGCTCAAGTTGTCCACGTCACCATGCCTCTTCTTACTACAAATCCCTCTTCCAAAATTTAGGTTTTTTTTTTCATTTTTTAAATTTCAAGTAATTACCCACTAAACCAAAAGGAAATAACATAGGCTAAATTATCTCTAACAACCAAAAGATAAAGAAAGAGAGATTTGATTTTCTAATGTCAAGCCAAGTGGCACCACTATCCCACACTTTCTCCTATCTCTAATTCCTATTTATCATCTCCCCCACTTTTTATCTATATCTATGTTAAGAAGTTTGAATTAAAAAAGTTAAGAATTGTTTAAATATTATAACAAATTATATACTAGCATCAAAATATTTATTAAAAACACAAAACATAATTATAATAGACATAATAATATTCATATCATTAATAATTTGGTATTTTTACAAAATTCATGACRAAATTACAAACAATATAAATTATAATTTTACAGATTATTCAATTTAATTGTTACTTAAATAATAAAAAATTAACATTAAAAATAAAATATTATTTAAATATTTCAATAAGTAAATATATTAAAAAATATTAAAAATAGATAAATAACATATTTAAGAAAATATTTAATATTACATAATAACATTAAAATAAATAAAATTCAAATAATAAAAAATTTTAAATAACTAAATATTTTAAATAACAAAAAAATTAACATCATTAAATTTTAAATAGTTAAAATAACAAAATTATGTAATAAATTTAAAAAATTATTAAAAGTAGAAAAATAATTATAATATATTTCATATATTCAAGTTAATAATAATTTAATATTTACAAAACTAATAAAGAAATTAAGTATAAATAGTATAAATTATAATTTTATAGATTATTAAATTCAAAAAATAATTAACATTTTAAAAATTGGCATAATGATATTATTTAAATAAATAAATAATATTGTAAATAACTAATCTCACTTATATCAATTAATAATTCTACAAAATAACTTTTAAAAATTGATATTTATAGTTAATAATTTTACAATCTTAATCTATATTTATTATATATTTATATATACTAAAATTAATATTTATTATATTTTCAGTAATTATTCATTATACTTTTTAGTAATTATGTCTTTTTATTATAATTTATTGATTAATATTTATTAGAGATTAAACTATTATTTGGGATTACACTATTTATTGATTAATTTAATATGTTTATTGTATTTTTGTTAGTTATTTATTGTATTTTATTTGATTTTTATCTTCAATAATTATGTATTTTTGCTATAAATTTTCAATAATTATTGGAGATTAAACAATTGTTATTTATTAGAGATTAGACTATTAATTTAGCTGAAATTATGAGTGTTCACAAGTTGGTTTAGTTCGGTTGTAGGCTATTTGGCCAACCAAATCGACGTAGTCAAGTTGGGGAATTGGTGACCCAAAACTGATTGACCACTAGTGAAATTGACCAACTCACGTTGTATCGATTTGGGTCAACTTTCGGTTTGGATAGTTGGTTCAAAATATTTAAACTTAAAAAATTAAATTTAAATTTAAAAATTACAATTATATTATTAAAAATAAATTAAAAAAATAAAAATTTAATATACAATATTCTAGATTAAGAAATATTAGAATTTTCCCACTTTCCTGCATTAAGAATATTATACTTAAATATATATATATATATATATATATACTAAAGTAGAATNTATATATATATATATATATATATACTAAAGTAGAATGATGCCACGTCATGGCCTGAGCTTTCTCCATTACCCCAACGGAGAACTCTCAGTTCCTCTCATTTTATCCTTCCTTGCTCCCTCATGAAGCCACCTCATCACTCCCTTCTCCCTCTCTCATAATGACACCTCACCATGCCTGGCCCACCTCTCTTTCCTTTATTTTATCCCTTTTGATATCCCTTCCTAAAACTATTCCTAAAATCTCTCTCTACCAAAATCCAATCTAATCTAGCCAAGTGGCACCACTATCCCCCACTTTCTCCTAAATTATCTATAATTCCTATTTATCTCCTAAATTATCTCTAAATCCTATTTATGCTCTCCCCCACTTTTCATCTATATCTATCAAAAGAAAGTTTGAATTAAAAAATTTAAGAACTATTTAAATAATATAATAAAATTATGTAATAACTTTAAAATGTTTATTAAAAACACAAAAAGATATCATAGATTTAATAATATTCATATTATTAATAATTTTATACTTTTATGAAATTCATAACAAAATTGTGTACTAACAAATAAGTTATAATTTTATGAATTATTCAATTTAAATATTATTCAAATAATAAACATTTAAAATTAAAAAAATATTACTTAAAAGTTTCAATAAGTAAATATTAAAAATATTATATAACATAATGTTTAATATTATCTAATAACTTTAAAATAAATAAAATTTATATAATGAATTTTTTTAAATAACAAAATTCTGTAATAAACTTAAAAATTTTATTTTATTTTTTTTATAGAACCAAAAGGGGCTACACGGAACGGGGTGTAGCACGTCCCCAAAAGTCACAACAACAAATATCAATTAAATCCCTAGGAATGGAACTATTGCAGACTTCATTAGAATGCATGTGATTAGCAAGCCAATCTACAACCATATTCCCCTCTCTAAAGACATGTCAGTAGTCCAC